TACCTTCAGTGGGTGGAAAAACTGTTAAATAGTGAAAAGGAGGGGGATGAGTGGGTTAAATTACCTTTGCACAGTCTGTAAAATGTAGGTGGAAAAGCCTGTTTTGAATGTAATGTTCCAGTAAAAGATTTCGAAGGATTGGATACGATCTACAATACTTTTTGGAAGAGAGTGGTCAACGTTTGGTTAACATTGAACTCCCCCGTGGAAAACAGGAGGCAATCAATTTTAATTCAGATTTTATACAACAACAAATATATAACATATAAGGGAACTCATTTATGGTTGCCAGAGTGCATCAGACATGGTATAATCCACGTCCGTGATGTCTGCTTGGGAAACAGGTTGATGTCTTTTCAAGAGTTTTCAGAAATTTACGTAACTCTTTCAAATAAATGCATGATGTATAACGTCCTGGCTAACGCCATAACCCCTTTGCAATTAGAGCTGGAAATTGCATGTAAAGAGGACGTAAATATGTCTTTCAGAGGTTAACGAGTTGGGGAGATTGGGAGGAAGAGTTTCTTACAGTTAATAAATGAGTGTGAGGAACCGTATATTGTAACTATATGGAAGAGGAAATTGGGGGTAGACATAACAGAAAAGCATTGGCTAATCAGCTATGCAACAGCAAAAGAAATAAGGCTCAGAGTATTACAATGAAACATTTTTCATAACATTTATCCAACAAATATTCTGCTGCACAGAATGGGGGTAAAGGATTCTAAAAATAGTGCAACATGCTCAACAGAAGACAATATAGAACATTTCATGGTAGAATGTGTAACTGTAAAACCTTTATGGAAAGATCTGATCCTCAAAACTATCCTCAACTATCTGTCGCTCACATACATTTCAGTAATGACGCTTAAACATTAAAGATGTATCTTATCTTATCTTATCTTATTAGTTTTAAAGTGCCCAACAAATCAAACGTTTTCACAGGTAGCATGCAGGGTTGTACTGGGGAGGGCTGTACTGTCAGGAAGTGTCGGGGGGCTTCCCCCGGGTAAAGGGGGTTCATTTTTTTGCGATGACTCCACTCGCTCTGGGACGGTGAGTCGTCCAACAAGTCAACCCACAAGTCGTGGTACTTATTATTTTCAATAATCAATCCGGTTGAAAACATTCCGTGAGATAGAAGTATACTGAACAGGATATGTCCGACAAAAATCAACGTAAGTGCACACATTAAGAAAAAACTAAACATACAGAGATGCAAACACTAAAAAAACACAACCCCCCTATACCAGAAAAATTTGTATCTCTTTCTGTTCCCTGCTACCATCTTGTCTTGGCCCAGTAGATTAGATATTAATACTAACAAAGTCACCACATTAGTATGAGACTTCGTGCAAACTTTCGGAACCTTTGTGACACGGTAAAACGGTAAAGATGACTCCCCTAGGGAGAGGGACAGAGGGTGCCCACCTCGTGACTCGAAAGAGCTGAGGAATGTAGGACTA